ATGGGGCTGGCGGGGTATGTGGGTGGTGGGGTAACTACAGACTTTTGGAGCGACATCAGGGGTACATCCAGTGGTGAGTACTGGGCAGCACCGCCGGCCCCTTGCCCGGCCAACCTCCGGTCCTATCGGAGATAGAAGTTAAACAAGGAGGTCCTGCCCCTTAAATAACCTAATAGTGTTGATAGCAGCGTTAAACTCGTACCATTTTACCGGCCAACCCCCCAGCCCCGCCAACCCCACCAACCTCCCCAACAACCCTGCATACCCCGCCAACTTCCCAGCTCCGCCAACTTCCCCCTTACCCCTCCAACCCTCCAACCCTTCCACCCTCCCAACCCCCCTTCCCCCAACCCCACCAACCCGGCCCACATAGTATTGGAAGAAAAAAAAAAAGTATGAAATTGAGCAGCAAATGTATATAATTATTATTATATATACTCATATAATGTATGTGAATTATTTTCCAGGATTTTCCCCATCAGGGAAGACGGGATGAACTGGCAAGCCCAGTCGTTGCAGCTGCATGAGGCAGAGGTAGGCACTCCCTCCTCCCCCGCACACCTACACACCTGTCCCCGACGTTTTATGCAAGAAAAACTATGCAAACTGAGCCCAAAAATGTGAAATTATGCGATTGTGTTAATTTTAACAAAGAATGATAAAGGAAAATGATCAGAAATTATGCAAAAAATGATCACATTTAGCTAAGTTATGCGGGGTGCATAAAACCACGGGGACAGACAGACAGACACACACACACACATGCGCGCACACACACACAAACACGCACACACACAGGCACACGCACACACACACACACACACACACATTCATTGGCCATTTCGAGTTACTAAGACCATGAGGTCAGAAACCAAACGTTCTATCTTCTCTATGTGGGTGGTTGGCGGGTACTCTGGTGTGGTTTGCTTCTTTTTTCCGTCTTATCAAACATCTATCGTCCTTATCTCCCCTCCTTCTTTTTTATGTTTGTTACTCTCTTGTAACACCTCTGATCTTCGGCACTTATATGATGACCTAATTGTGTTGCAAGTGCCGTAAAACTCTTACTTTTTTTTTTTTTCTTAAAAAATATTAACTTTCTTTATTGAGCTTTTCATTTCACATGTACATGATTTATTTCAAAGCAAATATATGTACAAAGAATAATTCTTTAAAAAAAATACTAATTAAAAATTTATTTCAAAGTCCTCCTATTGAAGAACTGCTGTTATTTTTAAAAAATCAAAATATTCTTGTGACCTGGGAGCAAGCTCACAATCCCTTTGCTTTTTATTGTTACAGAGGAGTCCGCTTAAACCGAAGATTCTTGCGAAAACAGCGAAAGATTAAAAGAAAATACAGTCCAAGATTTGTTTGGGTTATGTTGTTGTTGTTTTTGTTTTTTTTGGTCTATTATTTGAGCAACGTCACTAAGTCCAAGTGGAAAACATGGCTAAACTGAAGAAAATCTGGTGGTCCCACATTTTTCCGTTTCAGCGTACTCCTCTGTCGGCATTATATTCGAAAAACTAACAATCACGATAAAACTCTTACTAAAACTAAAAGGTTGCAAGTGGGTGGTTAGTGAGTGTTCTGGTGTGGTTTGCTTCTTCTTTCTTATCAAACATCTATCGTCTTTATCTCCCCTCCTTCTTTTTTTATGTTTGTTACTCTCTTGTGACACCTCTAATCTTCGGCACTTATATATATGACCTTATTGTGTTGCAAGTGCTGTAAAACTCTTACTAAAACTAATAAAATCTCGCTTGCTCTCGCCGCAGGCCATCAGGAACGATCCCAAAGCCAAGGACAGGGTCCTGAGGTCGTACGAGATGATGCTGGACTTCTACGGCATGGAGCTGAAGGACGCGGACACGGGGACATTGAGGAGGACCAAGAACTGGGAAGATCGCTACGACAATTTGAGCTGGTATTTTGACACACTTTCCCCCTTGTTCGTTGTCAGTGGGTTTTTTTCACCACCCCCGGGCCGGTGCTACTGACTGAAGTGTCTTTAGGCCA